CGTGGGTGGCGAGCAGAAGAAGGCCGCCAGCACGAGGGGGCGCATCCTTGCAGGACGCCGGGCCAGGGCCCAGAGCATACGGCCCAAGGCGTCAGCTTGCCTCGCTCACCCTGCAGGGGCGGCCCAGGCCCAGGCCCAGGTGAGAGCCGCTCTTGCTGGCTGAGGCCCGGCGGCTACCGGCCACTGGGCCAAGCGGCACTTTCTCCGAAGTCCCCCGTGACACTTAAAATCCGAGCCCATTACCCGAAGCTCAGGCATTCGGAGGGCCACAAAACCCCGGAGGCGGAAACTCGAGCCTCGGAAGGACTCGGTGTGTCGGAACTACGTTTCCCAAAGGTCTCCGCCCTTAGACGGAGCGTTAACCAATAAAGTGTGGGAACGTCTCTGGCGCCTATGACCTTCAGACAAATCACTGACGGGGGACGGAATTTTCCCACACTACGCTGCAGTTAGAATTGACCCGGGTGGGTGTCTTTGGGCCCTGGTTCCTTGGAGCCTGGCTCGCTCTACAGGGCCCTGTTGGCGCTGAGCTACAGGAATCATTCTTTCTTTTGTTACCAGGGATTGAGCTACATCCCTACCCCCTTTTATATTTTATTTTGAAACAGGATCTCGCTATATTGCTTAGGGCCTCATTAAATTGCTGAGGCTGGCTTTGAACTCTCAATCCTCCTGCTTCAGCCTCCCGAACTGCTGGGATTATGGGGGAGCACGCCACCGCACCCAGCTCGGAACCTCTCTTTACAAAATGTTTTCCTAAGGGAAAGCGCGGCTGTTATCCCTGTTGTGGGAGTAAATAAACCGAAGTCACTTGGGCGGGAGTTCCTTTGGCATGGAAGTGGGATTTTTTTTTTTTTTTGGTCATTTGACAGTGTCCTCCTTTGGCGTGGATGCCTGCTATGGTAATGCTTCATCCCCACAATTTTCCTCCTTGCCCACCATACACACATAGTCAGTCACTCTTTCTCCCTCCCTCCTTCCCTCCCTTCCTCTCTCCCACTCTCCCTTTCTCCTTCTATGGTGTGCACTGTTCAGGTTGGTCCAAGATGAATACCATTTGAGGAACCCATTTAAAAAATATTTTTATGTAGTTGGACACAATACCTTTATTTTATTAATTTGTTTTCATGTGGTGCTGAGAATCAAACCCAGCACCTGGCACACTGCTAGGCGGGCGGTCTGTAGCTGAGCCACAACCCCAGCCCCTGATTCCATTTTAAGATTGGGAGCCATCTCATCACAAAGTCATGAAGAGTTAATTTCTGTTTTATTTCTATTTGGCCTGACCATACTCTGATGGTTAAACTTGTTTGGAATTCCTGCCTGTGTTTCTGAACTCACTCGGGCCAGGCTCTCCTTGACCAGATAACAACTCTCCCTAAAACCTCAGCAGCTTCTCATAAATTCTGATGTTGGAATATCAATTTACTCCCTACCATGAAATGTTAAGCCATGTAGATCATTAACCTGCTATCTGCCTTTGTATTACGCTTGCCAGAACCCTGTTAGCTGTTAAGTTCCCAAAACACTCACTTTGTAACTTTTTGTGCTTTAAAAACCTTTCTTTCCTGGGAGTTGTCACTGTTCTCTGGCCCAGGTTTCGGTTGAGACAGTCGCTGGCCAGCTCTCTTTGTGTACACAATATAAGCTTGCTTTAATTTGGCTTAAAATTGGAGTCAGTGGTCTTTTCTTTGTGTCCTGGGTTCAACACATTGACAATTCATTTAACAACCAAATGTGTGACATCTACTTTGGACCAAGCATTGGACCAGGAGTGTGCTCTGGTGACTGGGAGGAAAAAAAAGCAAAACACTCCCTCTTAAGGAATATAATCCAGGGCACAGTGCTCTTCTAGAATGGTGCTATGAACAACTCAAATAACTTCAATGCAGGATGCTTAGTGCAAAATACAGGCATATTCAAAGTACATGTTGCGGACCTGGGGGTGTAGCTCAGTGGTAGAGCACTTGCTGAGCACATGTGAGGCACTAAGTTGATCCTCAACACTGCTTAAAAATAAATAAAGGTATTGGGTCCACCTACAATTTAAAAAAAACGTACATGTTGGGAAAGAAATGCTGGGAAGGCCCAGAAGGGGAAAAGGTGAAGCCTCAGGAATTGGGGAAAGGAAGCTATTCAGTACCTACTTTACACATTTTAAATCCAGTGCCTTAGTCTGAGTTGGAACACTGGTAAGATTGAGAAGCAGGGAGGGATTCAGGGGAAGGTGGGCCCTGGAGCCACAGCCTTCGCTCAGATGCGAGGCATGAGCTCAGTTGCAACAACAGTGTTGGTGAAAAGCCAAAAAGAACCCCTCTAACTCAAAATCTTCCTTTCACCCACACAATTCTTCCATTTTCCCTAGAGTTTGGGGTCATTTTGTCGAGAGGATAAAAAAAGGAAAGACTAATTTTGTCAAAGATCTGAAAAAGTTCAGCTGAGCTCTTCATGTGAAAATCTCCAGGGTTATCTGAGAGACTGGATGCAGCAATCCCAGCACACTGGACCCCTATAGAACTTCCTGATTATGAGACAGGACTCTTCACCAACCCCATCAGAGCTAAAGGGCCAGGAAAGGTGACCACCTGTCACATGCAAGGATAGACCATTTACAGTTGTAGATAGTACTGTTACTAATGAGGGAAAAAGACTAAAAACTGTATTTTTTTTTTGTACCAGGGATTGAGCCCAGGGGCACGAAACCACTGAGCCATATCCCCAACCCTTTTTGTGTTTTATTTTGAGACAGGGTCTCACTAGGTTGCTTAGGGCCTTGTTAAATTTCTGAGGCTGTGAGGCTGGCTTTGAATAGAGTAGTTAAGTGATAGAACCTGGGTTATTTACTTACTAAATTTCCCTTCTCTCACCTATACAATGAGTCTACTTACCCACTTCCCAGGGTGGTTGTCAGGATTGAGATAGCATGTTAAGGACTTGGCCCAGTGCTGGTACATAGTAACTGCTCTTTATATCTTTACTGTAAGCTATTATGACTTATTGCAAATTATAAACACAACCTAAAAGGATCTAAAAAATCCATCACATTATGACCTACCTCAAAAATCTCTAATAAAATTGAAGGTATGTAATTAGTGACAAATTAATCTAGAACCAGGTCTGTCCAGTTCTCCATACCCCATCCACAACTCCACAAACTTCAGGGCAAGGCAAGGTAGAGCAAGGCAGGGCAAGGCAGGAGAGAGACAAAGTATGGACTTGGAGGGAGGGTACAAATGGGCTTTTCTGGGTGATGCTCAACTGTTTCTTTTTGGAGGGGGCAGGTAGTGGGGATTGAACCAAAGGGTGCTTAACCACTGAGCCACACACCACAGCCTTTTTTTATATTTTATTTAGAGACAGGGTCTCACTGAGTCACTTGGGGTCTCACTAAGTTGCTGAGGCTGACTTTGAACTCGCAATCCTCCTGCTTCAGACTCCTGAGCCACTGGGATCACAGGTCTGCGCTACCATGCCCAGCTGCTCGGTTGTTTCTTGATCTGGGTGCTAGTTACACAAGTATGTGTGATTTACAAAAATTCAATTTGTTGACGCTTTTGTGCACTTTTCAACTATATTTCAGTAAAAAAATTGAAAATAAAAGGAACCATCTCAGGATATAGTTATATGAATACACTGGACTAAGGAGTAAGAGTAATATAAATTATCTTAAGTTTCAGTGATTATCCAAATAGAAACAAAACATCCAGATGGTGAACCACAGACTCTGCTACAATAATGAAAGTGTATGGTCAGGTACTGTGGTGCACACCTGTAATTCCAGCAACTTGGGAAGCTGAAGAAGGTGGATTGCATGTTTAAGGCCAATACCTTAGCAAGACCCTGTCTCAAAAAATAAAAAGGGATGGATATGTAGCTCAGTGGTAGAGCACCCCTGGGTCCACTACAGGGGATTAAACCCCTGGGTTCAATCCCCTGTAGTGGAAAAAAATTTTTAAGTGTGGTTTCACTAGCTTTTGATTATCTGTGACATTTCAAAAATATAAGTCATTTCATTAGTATACTTGTTGGTTTTTATAAGTCTTTAGCTGTGTAACTTACGTGGGTATAAGTCTTTAGCTGTGTAACTTAAGTGGGTAAATACTGAGAAGACACTAAGGTTAAAATCAACATATTTATCATATTACCAAAGTAAAATGTAGGAGAGAGCTCCATCTGTCTCTTGCATACATATATAAGGGATATATATACACACACATATATATACATATATGTATATATATGTGTGTGTGTGACACACACACACACACACACACACACACATCCTTTCGCCCAGTGATTGAAATAGCTCCATGAAGAGAACCAATTGGTGAATATTTACTGAGTTTCCATTGCATGCATTGAGCTGGTGTTAAAGATAAGAGCTTGGATTTTCAGGATGGGTATGGACATAAGAAACAGAAGAGGAGGAGTGGGGGAAAGTTTCCTTAATAATCAAGCTATGGAACTTAAATTTCAGCTGGGAACCATCCTATCTGTTCTCTCTTACTAGCAAGACAACTCTTGCATTTTCACAGAAGGATGAGAATCCTTGTCTAATTGGACAAGTCTTGGGACTTTTTGTTAATAATCTTTCCCCAGCACCTTGCTCAGTGAGTCCTCAATGGATATTTGCCAAAAAAGTGAAGGAATGGAATTAGCAATTGGCATTTCATAGCCTACTTGGTTTAGTTTGACCCTCATCACTGACTAGAATTTCTATCATGTCTAATTCTACTAGCTCTGGATAGAGATGATTCCCAATGGTCTCCTCAGGATGCCATGTGACTCCTCAGCCAAAGCCATGGCATCAAATCTTGTCAACAGACTGTAGTTTGCAAAGAGCAGTGGGAAGAGTATAGGTTCACCCAGAGGTGTGCTCTTTGAAGTGACTCAGTTCCTGAAGGTTCTGGGGTAGGAGGTTGGTGGGGTGAGGAAGTGAGGTGTATGTTTGTTAATAGTCAAGTGCAGGTTTTAAAACACACATTAAAAGGTAGACCCAGGAAAAGAATGGGACTCTACTTTATTAGGCAATATTGAGTGTCCATCCTCTAAGAAAAAGGTCTCTTCTGAGCACAGGCTCCATATATAGGAGGTGGCAGTTTCACGTTTCCAAAAGACGCCTTATATATTTTCTCCTCTTTCCTTGTAACAAACCCTCTCATCTGCTGTCATTCTCATCTTCATTGTTTCAAGGCTCAGAATTCCAAGAACAAAGCCATGATGGCAACCAAGATCAAGTATGTAACTGCAGGGCAAACTCCTGGTTCCAACCCAAATCTCTCCAGGGGATTTTGATATCCTCAAGATAAACACTTCCTTAAAAATATGTTTTTAGTATACAAAAGCTATCAGACGGAATTCTAGATCTGCATATATAGAAAATTCAAGAACAAGGAGAAAACAAGTGCATAGAAAACTGAAAAATAATTATGCATCGTGCAGGATTTTTCCCCCTTGATGGTACAAAAACTGCTACCCACCATGGATGGACAGCTGGGGGTCGAAGGCTTCACACTCCAAACCCAAACCCCATGAGAACAATGTGCTCCCCTGGCAGCTGAGTCACCATAGGACAGCAAGCAGAGACAAAAGCAAGCACACAAATCTCAGTTTATACCTTTCCTGGCAGACCTCAGTCCCTCTTATAATGGAAGAGACATTGGGACACAGGTTCCAGGCCATACTTCCTCAAGCTAGTTTGCTCCCGACACTTTCTGGAAACAGAAAATGGTTTTACCTTCATGTAGATGATTCAAAATTGAAGAAGTCCCATCATATTGACCTGAAATCAAGACACTACATGGGCAGGGGCCCTGGGACGCTAGCAGCTTGGTGTAAAGGCACCTTAGCCCAACAAAGTGGCAGCAAAAACAACCAGAACCACATATACAGATTTCCAGTATTTCTCTGAGGACTCAGATCACCTGGAGGCCACATGAGTTCCACATGGAGAAACATTTCCCCATTTTACTGAAGAGGAAACAGAGGCACAGAGGAATCAGGAGAGAGTCAATCAAATAATGAAATGTAACAGATAAAGACCCAGCTTTCTGGACCTTCTACTCCTATGCTCTGTTCTTGAACCAACAGGGGCTTGACTCCAACCAACTAAGATGACAGTGTCCTAGACGTGAGGGTGAGCAGGGGTAAAAGATTTTGGCAAAAAATTCCAAAGAAAGTTCAGGAAAAATGGCTCTTTTAGAGGGAAATCACTATTTGGGGCACTGACAATTCCCTTTCCCAGGCCAGTCTCTGCCTCACTTTCCCTCTCTGCCACTTCAATAAAGTTTCTCTTTCATGTGAGTTCTCTGGTGTGTAATAAAATTGGAGCTATTGCTGAAGCCTTTGCCACACTCAGGGCATTTATAGGGCTTCTCCCCTGTATGGATTCGCTGGTGTATGATGAGAACCGAATTCCAGCTAAAACCTTTCCCACACTCAGGACACCTGTAGGGCTTGTCTCCCAAATGGGCTCTCTGGTGCATAACCAGGATGGAGCCCCGGCTGAAGCTCTTGCCACACATGAGGCATTTATAGGGCTTCTCCCCGGTGTGGGTCCGCTGGTGCACCACCAGTTGCGAGCGCTGGCTGAAGCACTTCCCACACTCGCCACATTTATAGGGCTTCTCTCCCGTGTGGATCCTCTGGTGTTTGATGAGGTTGGAGCTCCAGCTGAAGCTCTCACCGCAGGTCAGACATTCGTAGGGTTTCTCCCCCGTGTGCATGCCCTGGTGCGCGATCAGACTTGAGCTCTGGCTGAAGCTCTTCCCACACACTCCACACTTATAGGGCTTCTCCACCATATGGGTTCTCCGGTGTGTGGCCAGATTGGAGCTGCGGCTAAAGCTTTTGCCGCACTCGCTGCACTGATAGGGTTTTTCTCCGGTGTGAGTTCTCCTGTGCGTAATGAGAGCCGAGCTCTGGCTAAACCTCTGGCCGCAGTCGGTGCATTTGTATGGTTTCTCTCCTGTGTGGATTCTCTGGTGTCTGATCAGGTTGGAATTGTAACTGAAGCTTTCACCACACTCTTTACACTCATAGGGTTTTTCTCCAGTATGGATTCCCTGATGCGTGTTGAGGCTGGACCGGTTGCCAAAGCTCTTTCCGCACTCGGGGCAAGAGTACGGCTTCTCTCCAGTGTGAGTGCGCTGGTGGGCAATAAGATTGGGGCTCCTGCTGAAACTCTTGCCACACTCGGCACACTGAAAGGGTTTCTCTCCTGTGTGGATCCTCTGGTGGGTTATGAGATTTGCACTCCGGCTAAAGCTCTTCCCGCAATCCCTGCATTTGTAGGGTTTCTCTCCAGTGTGAGTTGTTTGGTGTCGGCTAAAGTTTGAGCCGTCACTAAAGCTCTTTCCACATTCGTCACATTTATAGTGTTTTTCTCCTGTGTGGGTCCTTACATGGGTAATTAGATGAGATTTCCGGCTGAAGGTTTTCCCACACTCAGGGCATTCATAGGGCTTCTCACCCAGGTAGGTGCCTTGAAGGCCAATGAGCTGGCCAACTTCCTTGCCCTGGGATGGCATCTGCCTGCTGTCCTTACCCTGAGGCCTCCCGGAGCCACAGTCTCTCTCAAAGTCACTCTCCCCATCAGACTGCTGACCACCTTCCCCTTCGGGCATTTCCAAGAACATCTCATGTGATTCCACCTCCTCAAACACATCTTGATTAGAATTCTCCCCGTTTTCACTCTGTATCTCAAAATCTGAAACAAAAAACACAATGGCCACTCAATTCCCTATCATGATGAGAAAAGGAAACCAAAGGGAACTTTAAAAATATTACATTTCTACTGAAAATAAAGAAGCTAGAAAATCCTCAAAACTCCTGAAGCCAGGTTTAGGGATGGGGATGTATCTTAGCAGAAGAGCATACGCTTAGCATTTGCAAGGCCCGGAGTTAAATCCCCAGCACCCAAAAAAAATCAATCAATCAATCCAAGCTTATTTAGTTGCCAGGCTTCCTATATTTGTGGTAATCATCCAGATTTCCAAAGTCTTAAAAGATTTGGGTTTCATGTGTCTACCTGTTTCTCCACTTGAAAATGAGGTCAGGAAGGTATTTGAAAATCCTAACTGAAGGACAGCAATAAAAAACACAACGATCCCCAACTCTCACCATGGTGCCTGATGCTTAGTAGGTGTTCAATTAAAGTTGACAAAAGGATGAATGTTTTTTATTGGTATCACAGAAAGATCCCTATAGTGTTTCCTTTCCAAAAGAGCTTATATAGTAATCTCTTGCATTAAAATATGTCTGGTGTTGGGGGCTGGGGATGTGGCTCAAGCGGTAGCGCGCTCACTTGGCATGCGTGCGGCCAGGGTTCAATCCTAGCACCACATACAAACAAAGATGTTGTGTCCGCCGAAAACTAACAAATAAATATTTAAAAAAAAATATGTCTGGTGTTTACAATCTTTTTAACATTTAATTAAGACAAACAAGATGACAGAGCCCCTGCAACAAGGATCCTATGTGTCTATACATAAATGTCTGAAAACAAGTGGGAACTTAAATTTGTCTACAGTGGAAGCCAGTAGAAAGAACTTTAATTGGTAATACAAAATACCTTGAACCTGTCAACCCTCTACTGCCCAATGTGTGGCAAATATTTTAATGAAAGAAGTAATTAGGGAGGATTGCTGGATAAATATAGTCCCTTCCTTAGATAAGAGACTCTAAAATCCACCCAAGGATGAAGCTAGATCAGCAGACATCCATGAGATTGGATCATTCTGTTCTGACCCCCAGATGAACTGTTTACTGAACTATATGTTGATTTAATGGCCCTGGATGATACTGATGTACACTAAAGGAAGTATCATTAGAAATAATGTTGCTAGGAAGTTGTTGATGACATTGCTTATATCACACAATGTCTTCTTGAAGAGCACGAAGAGGAAGATTTCCTCTTGACCTCAATACCAAAAAGAGCTATCCTGAATGACTGATCTAGGTTTTCCTGATGGCAATGGTTGTAGATTTCTTTTTGTCTTGCCTGCTTGGAAGCTCAGAGCCAAAAGCTCAGAGCAAGAATAGTGGGTTAATTTTTAGCAGGGTGTGGTGGTACTTTCCTGTAATCCCAATGACTCAGGAGGCTGATTATTCCTAAACCCCAACATCAGACTTTCCAAGAATGTAGGAAAGACAATTACTAAAATAATTTCATAATGACATTTCCATTTATAAAACTAACATAACAGTTAATTTAGGATTAGATATTCAATTCAGTAATTATATGTGTAAATTTCCATATACTTACTGGTATCCCTTTCTCAGGGAGAACCTGGGTTCCAGTCATGCCTTTAATCAAGATAAGATCCTATTTAAAAGCCAGGCACAGTGGCCCAGCTTATAACCCCAGCTACTCAGGAGGTTGAGGCAAAAGTATAGCAAGTGCCAGGCCAGCCTGGGCAACTTAGTAAGACTCTGTCTCAAAATAAAAAACAAAAAGGGATAGGGGCGAGCCACAGTGGTGTACACCTGTAAATCCAGCAGCTCAGGAGGCTGAGGCAGGAGGATTGCGTGTTCAAAGCCAGTCTCAGCAACTTAGTGACACCCTATCTCTAAATAAAACTACAAAAAAAAGGGTTGGAGATGTGGCTCAGTAGTTGAGTGCCTGTGGGTTCAATCACTGGTATCAAAAGAAAAAAAAAGGGATAGGGATGTAGCCCGATGGTATGCTTTTCTGATGCTTTAAAATCAGAATTGGTTTTAGTATGAACTCAAGAAGCAACAGGGAAAACAAGTAAAAATTCAAACTTAATTTTCAATGAAATTAGAAGGAAGATATAATTTGAAGAGACCAAAATACATGTCAAGGCTTCTAAAAATAGCAGACTGGGTAGAAGCACTAAGAAAAGAAGTGTAGAGAACAAGCATGGAAGGGAGTGGGTGAGAGGTGCTCAGGAGCAGATCTCACAAAGTTCAGGCAGAAAATCACTTCCTGAAGGTTTGGGACTCACCCTCCAGTGCAACAGTGCATTTGGAAACTGGGGTAACCAGAGCTGGCTTCTTTGGTTCAGAGAAGCAAAGGAGATGAGGCTATAATCAGAATCACACAGATGGGCCGTGTACGCAGGAAGTTGTTTCTGTAAAGCAGAGAAGGAGAGAGCCTTTGACTTGCAACATTAATCAGGGAACTTATTATTATTGAGAAAAATGATCATTTCCAACCAAAATAGGTAAATGAAGCAACTGCCTCTGTAGAACTAAAGAACTTGAAGAAGAGATGGTGAGATGACAGAAAGAGATTTCATGAAATGTGAAGGACTTGGGAAAGAAGGGAAATATCATCAGAGAAATAAAGACAAGATGGGATCACAGGAAACTAAGTATCTTGAAAAGCACAGAAAAGAGGAACAAAATGAGAAAAGCAATTAAATTAATGGAAACAAAGAAAGAGTTGAAAGGGTTAAAGAGAACGATAGAAACAGAAGTTAGGCAATAGGAAAACCAATAAACTTATTGGAGTTCTCAAAGAAGAAAACTACAACAAAGGAACAGAATAAATTCTTTTGTTTTTCTCTTGATACTGGGGATCAAACCCAAGGCAAGCACTCTACCACTGAGCTAGATCCCCAGTCCCTAGAAATTATACCTTTAAGAATTTGTTCTTGGGGCTGGGAATTATTTCAGTGGTAGAGTACCTAGTATCTATGAAGCCCTGGGTTTCAAACCCCACCAAATGAGAAAAAAGAGAAGAAAAGAAATGACAGGAATTAAAATTGGGAGGGGGGTCATAAGGTAGGATATAGTATGTTTATTGTCACAAGAAAACGTACTCATCTATAATAGGGATAACATTTAAAACTGGTAAATCATGTAACTGAATTTTGTTTATTTAGTTTTTTTAAGTGGTGTTGAGAATTAAATGAATTTTAAATATACAAAAATAAATATTAAGAAGGAAAGATTATTAACTGAAGTCAGAGGGACAGGGAGGAGAAAAACTATCTCTGTCAGATATTAAAACATGAAATGATGGTCTGGGGCTGGGGCTCAGGGGTAGAGAGCTTGCCTAGCATGTGTGAGGCCCTGGGTTCAATTCTCAGCACCACATATAAACAAACAAATAAATAAAGGTCCATATAAACACCACATATAAACAAATAAATAAATATTTTAAAAAACATGAAATGCAATTAAAACATTAATAGAGACTAGGGATTAGCTCAGTGGCAGTGCACTTTCCTAGCATGCCTTGTATTCAATCTCCAGCACCGCAAAAAAAAAAAAAAAAAAAAACTGAACATAAACACCATAGATTCAACTAACATATGAATATTGAATTTTATATCAGTGGCACATAAATGCAGACCACAAACAGAAAAAGTTATTGATATAATGACTAGGGGAATTTAGCATATTTGGTCTGTCAAATCCATGTAAAGATACAACATTCAACAAATAATCTAGGAGTGGGGACAGTGTAGCTCAGAAGTAGAACATGTGTTTAGCATATGCCAGGTCCTGTATTTAATCCCCAGCACAAATAAATAATAAAGCAATCAAGCTAGATAGGCCAAATAGGAAAATTTGAGTTGGACCTATATTAGGACAAATTCCAAATGAATCAAAAATTTAAATGTAAATGAAAGAAATGACAGAGCTGGGCACAGCATAATATGATGTATACACAATCCTAGCAACTTGGGAGGCTGAGATAAGGAGGAATGCAAGTTCCAGGCCAGACTGAACAACTTAATGAGACCCTGTATCAAAATTAAAAAAAATAATAAAGGCCAGGGATGAAACTTTAGTGTTAGAGTATCCCTGGGTTCAATCCCCAGGATTGCCAATAAATAAGTAACAGAATCAAGCTATTAAATAAAAATTTCTTTGAAATCACTTCAAATATGATAAATTGTGGAGTTATCTTCCATCATCTCCTGAGCAGAATCCTGCCCCAATTAACTCCTCATTAAAAGCCCATCCTATTATTTTTTTACATAGACAAAGCATCAAGATGGTTAGAGTTGGGGCTGGGTTGGTAGAGCGCTCACGTAGCATGTGCAAGGCCCTGGGTTCGATCCTCAACTCCACATAAAAATAAATAAAATAAAGATATTTACTTACACACACACACACACACACACACACACACACACACACATACACACACACATATATATATAAAGATGATTAGCGTGTACTCCAGGGAAAACCAAAGGAAAGTTGGGCAAAGTTTAGAAGTTGCCTCTGGTAACAGAGACACAGGAGTTCTTCTAAGGACAAAAAGAGCAGCCTTCTGATGTTCTTCAAATGGGAAAAAGTCACAGAGCTGGGAAGGATGAGGAAATGCTGGCTCCTTCCAAAAGCCTACTCAGGAAGGCCAGGCAACTATGAATTTCAAGTGAACAGGACAAAGTAGAGCATATTAAAGTGCATTCAGTTCCCTCCTTTCTTAGTAGCCAATTATTAGGAAAATGAAAACTCAAAAATTGGTTTGGGTCAGAGATAAGGGCTGGAGATACAGGTCACTTGGTAGAGTGTTTGCCTCCCATGCACAAGACAATTCCAGCACCACACACACACACACACAAAAAAAAAAAAGGAAATAATTTTTAGCTGGGTGCAGTGGCACATGCCTATAATCCCAGTGGCTCGGGAGGCTGAGACAGGAGGATCGCAGGTTCAAAGCCAGCCTCAGCAAAAGTGAGACAATAAGAACTCAGTGAGACCTTGTCTCTATTTTGTAATAAA